CTGTCTTTCTCAGTGACTTGAAATATTGCTTACCAATTCTTATAAATATCCAAGTCAACTTTTTGGTTGCTTTGGAAGTAGGGATGTAGGCCAGGATCTTTTACTTGCTAAGCACATGTCCTGCCACTGAGTTACAATCACAGTTCCAAGTCAACGTTTTAATTTTATTTATGCTATGGTTTGTGTTTACTTGTTCCCCCAAAGCCTCATGCAGTCCCTGGGGCGGCTTCTGGAGTTTGTGATTGATTATTGTGGGTGTGGGTGCTGAACCCACCCTGGAGCAGGTAATCTGCAATACAATGTAAGGAGGGGAAAGAAGCTAGCTAGCTGCCTGAGCGGCTGCCATTCCTTTTACTCTCTAGTCTTCGCTCCCTCAGACCTGAGCTGCTTCTCTCTGCCTCGGAGCAAGCTGAGTATAGACTGAAACTTCCACTAACTGTGAGCTAAGTAAACCTTTCCTTTCTTAATTTTGGGTGTTCCCGGTGTTTGTACCAACAACGAGAGAAGAGTAACAGTTTACCATTGATCTAGGTGGGTTTTTTTTTTTTTTCAGTAGTAGGGACTGAACTGCAGGGTCTTCCCAGTGAACTACATCTCCACCCTTTTCTCGTATGTTATTTTCAAACTGTCTCAATAAGTAGGTAAACTGCCCGGGATGGGCTTCATCTTTCAATCCTCCTGCTTCAGCTTTCTAGAATACTGGGATTACAGATTTGGGCCACCATTCTGGGCTCTACTTTTCCATTGTATTCCCGTATCTGGTTTCTAGGACTAAGTCTTTATATCTTTTCAATCCAAGAAGACTATGCCCTGCATCTTTTTCCCATATTTGTCAGTACATATCTGCATTATGTTCATTGTGGGGAGTTGGTAGGTGTACACAACACACCTCAATTCTTTTTTTCCCTTTCCCATCCACCCCCACTTTTTGCCAACATCAGATTCTTTTTTTTTTTCTTTTAGTTTTTTTGAGACAGGGTCTCAATATACAGCTCACTTTGTAGCTCAGGCTGGTCTCAAACTCCCAACAATTCTCTTCCCTCAGCCTCCCAAGTGCTGGGATTATAGGCAATGCACCACCAGAGATTCATTTATCTTTTCTTTTTCTGGTACCACAGATGGAACTTGGGACTTTGTGCTTATCAGGCAGGCGCTTATGCCACTGAGCTATATCCCCAAACCTCATCCATTTATAAATCCATACCTTATAAAGTTAATTATCACACATAGAATTAACCAGACTAATATGACAAAAAACATCTAGAACAGAGAAGATAATTATACTAAATCAGGTTACATTTTAGATACATTGTCCACAAGGGAGATGGCTCAGTGAAATAAGCGCTTCCCTGGCAAGCACAAGGGCCTGAGTTCAATCCCCTGTTCCAGAAAAAAAAAAAAAAAGAATTAGATACATTGCCCATGCTGGATTACAATAATTTTTTTCTATCCTTTTTTTTTTTGTGGTACCGGGTATTGAACTCAGGATCTTGTGCTTGCCAGGCAAGCGCTTATTCTACTGAGCCAACTCCCCAGCCCCTCTATCCTATTTTTTATTTTGTACTTTATATATTTATTTCTCATATAAAAGAAACCATGTGATATTTAGGTTGTGTATCTGATTTATTCAACTTAACATTATAGTCCTAAGGTGTACCCATTGTTTTACAAATTACTCATTTATCGTTCTATATGACAAATGTTCACTGTGTATAAATACATTTTCTTTATCCATTTATCTGCTGACGGACATGTATGCTGCTTCTAAAATTTAGTTATGATGAATTGTACTGCTAGAAAATGGAGTATGCATGCATCACTGTGGATTGTCTTTAAATCTTTTGGGATGATACCTAGAAAGGGAATAGCTAAGAGAAATGGAATTTCCAATTGTAGGATTTTTTTTGGGGGGGGGTGGTAGCAGGGATTGAACTCAGGCTCTTGTGCTTGCCAGGCAAGCGCTTATTGTACTGAGCAGTCTCCCCGGCCCCTGATTTCTTGATGACAGCTGTTTTTTTTTTTTCTGTCTTTTTGAGATAGGATTATAGAGTTTCACTTTGCAATTCAGGCTGGCCTTATACTCACTTTATAGCCCAGGTTAGCCTCCAACTTGCAGCAGTCCTCCAGCATCAGCCTCCCCAGTACTGGAAGTACAAGCCTGCACCATTATGCCTGGCTTGATGATAGTCATTGTTTCTGGAGTGAGATGGAAGCTCAGTGGTTTTGTTGTTGTTGTTTTGTTTTGTTTTGCGGTATTGGGGATTGAACTCAGGCCCTTGCGCTTATTCTACTGAGCGATCTCCCCAGCCCTCAGTGTTATTTTAATTTGCATTTCTGTAATGGTCATTGATGTTAAATTTTTTTTTCATGTATTTATTGGCCATTTCTACTTCTTCATCTGAGAACTATTTCTTTCTTTCTTTTTTTTTTTGTGTGTGTGGTACCAGGGATTGAACTCAGGACCTTGAGCTTGCCAGGCAGGCTTGAGAACTATTTCTTTTCTTTCTTTTTTTTTTTTGTGGAACCGGGGATTGAACTCAGGCCATTGCACTTGCCAGGGAAGTGCTTATTCCACTGAACCATCTCCCTGGCCCCTTGAGAACTATTTCAAATGCACTTTTTGTTTTTGTTTTCTGAGACAAGGTCTCACCATGTAGTTCAAGTTGTTCTTGAACTCACTATGTAGCCAAGGCTGCCCTCCAACTTGTGAGAATCCCCCTGCCTCAGCCTCCTGAGTGCTGGGATCATAGGTATATGCTACCACACCCATACATAATTAATAGGATGAGATATTTTAAGGGGTCCTTTATTAGCAATTGGGGTTAGCCAAAAACAACTGTACATTTATCTCAATTAGACTAGATTATTAAAGTGGCTTAAAGAAAGTCTTTTACAGAGGAATTATATTTAACAAATGTTGGACAAAGTTGTTGAAATACAAAATCACAATCTTACAACCCCTGATGCAGACTGTGGCAAAGATTATCATCAGGCGGCGGTGCTCCCAAACAGCTCCTTCTGAAAGTGGCTTACCAACCAAACACAGCTGGGTTCTGGGTTGCTCACCCTTTCCTCTGGTGTTAGATTCCAAGTTCTCGTCTCAAACAAATAATTGAATAAAATGAACAAAAAGCAGTAGACAGATTTATTTGAAAGTGAAGTGAGGGAGAGACCGGCTCTGCAGACCAAGCTTGGTCCAACTAAAAGGAGAAAAAGCAATATGAGGGTTTTCGAGACAGGGTCTCACTATGTAGCCCAGGCTGGCCTTTGAAGTCATCTTGCATCCCAGGCTGGCCTCAAACTTGCAATGATCCTCCTTCCTCAGTCTTCTCAGTGCTGGGATTACAGGCATGTGCTGCCACAATTTTTTGTTAAGTTTATTGGTATATTTCACATATCCACAATGATCACATTAGTCATAGAGAATTTGTACCTGGGCTGGGGAGATAGCTCAGTAGAATAAGTGCCTGCCTGGCAAGTGCAGGGTCCTGAGTTCAATCCCCAGTTTTTTTTTTTTTAAAAAGGAGAATTTGTACCTGTACATGATATAACTTGTCATTAATTTCTGGAGGAACTGTCATGCTTATTTTGTAGAGGGTCCCCCATTCTATGAGATTGTGTTTATGCAGCAATGTGCATGTTTACCAAATCTGGGTAGTAAGTGTTCCAGTACTAGAAAATACAAGCTCAGTTTTTCTGGACATCCAGTGAGGCTAGGATCTTGGGCTTTGGGAAGGAGAGAGGAAAGTTGTGGATGTGTGTTTTGTCTGCTATGTGCACTTGAAAGTATTCATGGGAACTTCCACTGTGGAAGCTGCTTGCATGTGTGAGTCTAGGACACAGGAAATGGGGCCAGTGAACAAATGAATGAATCACGTACTTTTTTGGAAAGCTAATAGTATGCCAAGCAATTTGCTAGTACTTTTATCTCTAACCTTTGTCGCCAGACAGGTATTATGACACCACCCCCCACACACACACACCAGCACTAGACCAGGAAATCAGTGGCTGGGAGAAGAGGACTCCTATTATATTCAAACCCAATTTCTTAGGCTTCCAGAAGTCATTCGCTGAAGATGGAAGAGATCTAATTTTCATCCGTCCACGCATTCATCTGGCAAGGAACCATGAAGCATATTATGTTAGCACAACTACCACAGTACAATTTTACATGCATACAGTGATGGCAAACCTTTTACAGACCAAACTACAACCCAAAACTCATTATTTATGTCAAAGTGCCAGACCTGGTATCAAACCTGAATACTGAGATTTTAATTTAGTAGAAACAACTCACAGACTTGGCTCACCTGTCCAAAGGAAGGCTCTGCGTGCCCGCTGTGACACGTGTGCCACAGGTTCGCCAAAACCAAGTCGAACCTTCCCAGGAAGACCAGTTGAGTGGCTGGACTGTGGGCACTTGAAGGGCAGGGTTTATGGCCGAGATTTCCATGAAACAGCGGTCCTTTCTCGCAGCTGTAGGTTTGCCTGAGGAGGTACTGCTAGACCTAAGTTTTTAGACAAATCCTTGTCCCCGGCGCAGGTGTTATGACCCTGGTCCGAGAGGGGGCGCGGTTTTGCAGCGAAAAGCTTAACTTGGAGACCCGCCGAGTGCCAATTGGCACTGGTGCGCCGGCGCAGAGGACCCGGGGAGACGTTTAACATAATCTTGGGGGAGAGTAATTTGCGACGAGAGGGCGTGGCTCAGGGAGCGACGCAAACGTAGGGGCGTGACTCAACAAATTACCCGTCGCTTATTTGTCTCCGCCACCGAAGGTGTGGCCTAGATGCTCCCTTTATTGAATGAGGAGGGGCTGAAGTAAGTGTTCCCTTGGCTCGAAGATGAGATTTAGGGTGGGTCTTGAAATTCACCCCCAGCAATTGGCTGATGCGCTTAGGGGGCGTGGCTCTGAGTCACCCATCCCCCGTGTGGTCACTTCCTGTGGAGTTTCCCCAACCCGAAGAGGTGGGGGAAGAGGACGGACGAGGGGGAGGAGGGCGGTCGTCCGGGGTTAGGTGCTGGGGGGGTGTCGGTCCGTTCAGGGCGAGGGATGACTCACGGCCCATCCCCTCTTCCCGACGCCGCCCGCCCGCGCAGAGCCTAGCTCCATGGCTTAGCACAGGAGGAGGCGGTTGCGAGTGGGGGAAGGGGGACTCTTATTTTGTTAGGGGGACCGGGCCGAGGCCCGACTGGCCTGGCAGGGCTCGCCCGAGGCCGGGCGTCATGTCTCATGAAGCCGAGCCAGCTCGGGACGGCGTAGAGCCCAGCGCAGAGGGCCCTCGAGCAGTGTTCGTGCTTTTGGAGGAACACAGGTCGGCGGACTCGGCCCAGCTGCTCAGGTGCCAGCGCTTGGGTCTGGGAGTGCTAATTGGAGTTCCCAGGATCTCATCTGTGGGTATCCGGGGACCCAGACCGGGATTGGAGGCCCTTGGCCTAGGTTTGGAGGAGGTTGGGGCGCCTGTTTTGGGGAGGGACACCTAAGGAATCTGGTGGTGGCCTGTCTGAACTGAGGCTTAAAGGAGTCGTGGGAGTGCATTAAGAGTCAGAATTGGGGGACCAGGCTGGGTATAGAGGGGCAGGTTCTGGAGTATCCGGAAACTGCTCTCAGGTCGCTGAATTTGTGGGACTGATTAGAGGCTGAATTTAGAGCCCTTGAGTCGCGCAGAAGAGTGAATTTAAGGGGCACTTTCAGGTGAGGCACTGATTTTAATAAAATGCTAGGGTCCTAGGGCATAGGTTCTGTTCTGGGATCTTAGTGACTTAGTGGTGGTTGCTGTGTTTGGGGACCTCATGAATCTGGAGGGATTTGGGGGTGTCTCCGGTTCACCCTGTGGGGACAGCCTTCTGAGTATAAGTGAGGGAAAGAAGCCACGTTCAACAAGACCTTCCCACCCCCCGCCCCTCCCCCGGGGGTCCAGATCCCGGCTTTCTTCCCACACCTGCAGGGGGTTTGAGTGGTGCAGCTCCGGAAGGTGGAGGGAGTGGATGGGGAGCCTGTTACCTCTCAGTTCGGGAAAGGTCTCAGACCTACCTTGGGAACCCAGAGGAGGGTCTTGTTCCTGCTGTCGCTCAGCCTCTGCCAGCCTTGCCTGTCCCCTCCCTGCAGGTACCCTCTTGTTTTTATTCGGCCCTCCCAGTTGGCCTCAAGAGTTCCTGGGTGGACTCGCGACTCCCTAGAAGTGAATCGAGTGTGAACAGCACCATTCCTGCCTGGGTGGGTTCTCTCACTGGCTTCTCTCCTTCACTTCTGGCAGCCCACTGGAGCTCCAGCCCTCCCTGTCGGGACCCTGTCCACCACAGCGCCCATCTCTTCCACTTTGTGCAATAGGTGTGTGGGCACAGGTCGGGGCTTTGCCCCCTTCCTGCCTCCGATTGTGCTGAGCTCAGCGGCTCCCCCAAGCTTCCTCTTCCCAACTTCCTGGGTGGTTTTAGGGCCCCATCTGAGGGTGAGGAGAGGAAGGAAGACAAGTTAGTCCTTGTGGAGGGGAGTGTTCATGTCAAGAGAAGTCACCCATAATTTTTTCAGGGTTCTCTTTAAATTCAAAGATGCATGTTCATCTATGTTCAAGTGTTCCCTGGACACTAGGGTTCTTGGGCCAGGCTTGAGGGCCTAGCCGGAGCCTCTGCAAATTCGTGCCCCATCTTCTAATTCCTTGTAACAACCTAGTCCTAGTAGTGAATATAGTCAAAGGAAAGGGGTATTTGTGCCTTCTTGTTTTGTTTGCACATAGGTCTTGGTATTGGGGATGTGTATGTTTTAGTGTATCCAAAAAAGCAGGAGAAGGTTGGACAGATTCCTCCAGCTAACAGTTGGAAGATAGATCGTCCAACCAAATCTTCAGTATTGTAAATCCAGACTGTTGGAGCAAGGGATCGCTTTCATGTTCCCTTTTTTTTTTTTTTGAGGCAGGGTCTCACTTTGTAGTTTAGACTAGCCTTGAACTCTTTACATAACCCTGGTTTAAAACTTGCAGTGATCCTCCTGCCTCAGCCTCCCTTGCCTGACTCACATTTCCATTTTTATATTTGAGTGTGTATTGGTATTCCACAAACTGGCTGGGGCTGGGAAAAACTCACTTGCAAAGTGGTAGATCTTAAGTAAAGTGAATCATCAACCCTTGTCCTGTTCTCTTTGTGGTATATCCAGTTTGTGTTACAATGGGCTGTTGTGCTGAGGGATGCCCCAACTTGCTGTGAGGGGGGGTTTGTTTGTGGGGGGTTGTTGCTGAATGCTGTCAGAAAAACAGGGAGTATGGGGGCTGGGAGAGTGCTGTATGTAAAACCGAGAATCCTATGAAATGAATTGTCATTCCTAAATTCTGTTTTCCTCAAGCCCAGGTGGTTGTTTGTAGTTGTTAGAGTGAGTGGGTTGGGGATCACACAGTCTTGTTATTCTGACTAAGGGGAGTGGGGTAAAACTGGCCCTAGGAGAGCGGAAGAGAGAAGGGGTGGGGAGTAGATGTAAAGTTCACAGCGTGAAGGGTCCCCTTATAAGGCTCCCTACAATCACTGACTGCTATCCCTCCCTCCCTTCCACCACAGCCTGAACTCTCTGCTTCCGGAATCTGGGATTGTTGCTGACATTGAATTAGAAAACATCCTTGATCCAGACAGTTTCTACGAGCTCAAAAGCCAACCCCTACCCCTACGCTCCAGG